AGATTTTGACAGATATAGTAGCCTACGAAAAATATTAAAGTCCATATTCTCAGTGAAAAGAGAGATTTATCACACCCAACAGAGGTCATTACTTATGGAATCTAGAAATGATCCTAAAACATTCTGGAAGATTCTAGAATTGAGAGAGATTTGCCAAAGGAAATCAGTGCTTATCAGTGGTTCAATCATTTTGAGAAATTGTTACATGTATGTTCTGCTGACAATACCGATGATATTATTTCTGTTATAGATGAGACTTCTCATCCTTGTTTTGAACAGATTACCTTATGTTCTGATTTGGGTGTTGGTCGGTGTTGATGTTGAGGAAGAACTGAACATTCCTTTTACTGAGGCTGAAATTGAGTTGAGTCTGTCAAATCTTAAGCAAGGTAAATCGCCGGGGGAGGTATTCCAAGTGAACTTCTGAAAAGCACTAAACTATATATTGTTCCTTTGTTGACACAAGTCTTTAATACTTTGTTTGATAGTGGTGTATTTCCAGCTCAATGGGGTAAAAGCATTATCTGTCCATTACATAAGTCTGGAGATAAAAAGAGTGTTGATAATTATAGAGGGATTTTACTAATAGACACTCTATGTAAAACCCTTGCTGCTGTTTTAGATAAGAGGTTGAGAACTTGGTGTGATAAGAGAAATATTATTTTGGAGTTACAGGCTGGTTTTAGACCAAATTACTCAACTGTTGACCAGATATTTTTTGGGCAAGCAATGATTCAAAAACATCTCTCCAAGAAAAATGGTAGGTTCTATTGTATATTCATTGATTTTAGCAAGGCGTTTGATTGTATAAATCATAGAGTTTTGTTTCAGAGTTTATATGATATCGGTGTTAAGGGTAGATTTCTTAAATTCCTGATTTCCATGTATTCAGCTCTTGCATCCTGTGTCAGAACACCCAGTGGAATAACAGAGTTTTTCAAGTGTAATATCGGAACTAGGCAAGGCTGCATTTTAAGTCCTATAATATTTATCATTTTCATAAATCGGTTATCAATGATGCTTGAGGAGAAAGGTGGAAATGGTATTTTCATGACTCAAGAGTGTCCAAACGTGGTGCACTATTTTTTGCGGATGATATTTCTGGTGTTAGTGATGCTGCTGCTCAACTCCAAAGGAAGGTAAATGTTCTGGAAAGGTTTTGTGATGAGACAGGAATGAGGGTAAACATAAGCAAAACTAAAATCATGGTGTTTTGTGGAGGTGGTCCCCTCAGATCGTATGAAAAATGGTACCATAAGGGCAACAGAACAGAGGCTGTTAATAATTATAGATATCTTGGTGTTGTGTTTACTCCTACTCTATCATGGACTAGGGCACAGAGTTGTTTAGCATCTCAGGCAAATAAAGCTTTAATGGCATTCTATGGTTACCAATATAAATATGGATTAGTCTCTTGTACTGATGTATTTAAAGTTTTTGACACAATAATTTTACCTATAGTTACTTATGGAGCAGAGGTATGGGGTGTTCATTTTTCACAAATTATTGAAAGAGTACAAACACAGTTATGCAAGAGGGTATTGAGGCTGACTATATATAATGTTATGGCATTGGGTGAATGTGGCAGAGTTCCCCTTCAGTATAATTACATGTTAAAATCGGTTAAATATTGGTGTTAGTTGATTATGATGCATAACAATAGAATACCTTATCAAGCTTATTGTATGCTTAAGACACTTAATGATGTAGGGAGAATTACATGGGCATCTCATATCGGAAATATTTTATTTCAATTTGGTTTTGGTATTTTATGGATAAGTCAAGACATAGGAAATGTAAAAATGTTTATCTCACTTTTTAAGCAGAGATTGTCTGATTGTTTGAACCAAGATTGGCATCATACTGTTTCACTTATGAGCAAATGTCAGACATACTGTCAATTTAAGACAATTTTGAAAGTTGAAAGATATCTGTCCTTAGACATTCCATGGTGTTACAAACATGTTTTAAGCCAGTTCAGATGTAATAACTTCAAACTTGAAACAGGGAGGCATAATAATACACTGTACTGTAATAGAATTGTTTATATTGTCATAGCAAAGGCATGTCATTAGTTGAAGATGAATACCACCTATTGATGGTTTGTTAATACTATAAAGATGTAAGAATTGAATGTTTACACCATACCTATATAAACACCCGGGTAGGGGAGAGGTTTGCAAGACTTATGTCATGTAAGGATGAAAATGTTTTGATAAGTATTGCTAGGTTTCTGATGAAGGCTCGTAAAATAAGAAATGCATAAATTTCAGCCAATTTTTACACATTAAGATCTATATGTTATTTCTTAGATATGTTATGCCTATACACTGTGCAAATATGTCAGACACTTTATGAAGCAAAATTGTATGATTGTTACAACATACTGTCACTTTATGTCACTTGTGCAAATTGAAAGATATATTTCCTTAGATATATTATACAGTATTATAAACATGTTTAAAGCTAGTCCAGATATAATAGCTTCCAACCTCCAACTGTAACAGGGAGGCATAATACACTGTACTGTAATAGACTCTGTTTATATTGCTATACCAGTAGTTGAAGAGGAATACCATTTAAATTGTCAAAGTTTAAAAAAATGCATAAGACAGAATGTTTTCCACCGTACCTATATATTGGTAACCCGTGTAAGGATAGTTTTGTTAGACTTGTGTCATCTCCGGATGATGTTTTCATAAGTATTGCTACTTTTTCTTTAAAAGGGTACACTATGCCTGTACATTGTGCAAAAATGGTTCCATAGCTTTCAAAGGCAATAATGTATGATTATTACTGGTTTTACCAGCATCAAACAAAATGTAAAATTATTCTGTAATGTAGATCATGGCCTTATATACTGAAATAAAACTGTCTGTCTGTCTGTCTGTCTGCAACACTCATATCATGAAAGATAATGTCGCGTATTTAGAATACACGAAAGAGGAAGGCATGTCGCTAATGTAGATTACAATTTGAGGGAATCTGAAATACAACCAAGGAATTATTTGGCACGGGCCAGAGATGTAACTCGTCACACAGAATAGGGACACCATCACAAGTTGTTGAACACCAGACACAACATTAGTGAGTGAGTGAGTAAGTAAGTATGGTTTTACGCCGCTTTTAGCAATATTCCTGCAATATCACGGCGGGGACACCAGAAATGGGATTCGCACATTGTACCCATACGGGGAATCGAACCCGGGTCTTCAGCGCGCTCGAGACGGCATTATTACGCACGTGGGATCATACGACGTCGTGCATAAACATAGCAGCGAGTGTGACCACACGATTATTTGCTACTTCGGGCATGTTGGTTGCTGGAGACCAATTCTGAACCAGATATTAAAAATTATTGACCACTGGGATCTAGGGCTGGGACGGATACTCGGGTACTCGAATCCGGGTCGGGTACAGCTGGAATCGAGTCATATTTCAAGGAATCGAGTATCCGGAAAGGGAGAGAACTCTGTAATGACAAGGGTAGGTAACTCTAGCCTATAGGAATATGGACGACGCGCATGCAAAGTTGAGTGTTTGGGCTCATTGTGAGCTTGGTGCAAATGGCAAGAAAACCAAATGCCGACTCTGTGGTACCATGCCAATCTACTGCGGAAGCAGTACAAGTTCAATGCACAAACATCTTGCACTAAAACACAACGTAAAACATTAACGTGTTCATTACATTGTGTAACTGTGTTCATTGCTTATCAAGTTAGTTCATTAAAAGCGTTTAAGATTACATTGAATTTTGTCTTTAGTTTCTATTTTATTTCAATTTCATGAAACACAGCTGTTACATTTGCGTCAAACCTGAATACACTGACTATTAAAGAGATTGCAATTAAATGATTGTGTGTGTTGGGAAAAGCAATTAAAACTAATGAATTAACATATTTAAACGAACGTATACCAGTATTGAAAGAGCACATTCTGATTTGCAAATACAATGTTCAACTGGTTATTATTACAATAAGAAGAAAGATGATCAGAAATAGAAGCACAAGTCACGTAACTCACATACAATACCACTGCAGTTTCTATACATTTTATAGTTTAACAAATAATAACAAGCATACAGTTATCCCAATGAAGATACGCAATGTTTGCTTAGATGCAAATTTAGAATATTGATTTAATAATAGTTGGTTTTGTAAATTTAAACGTGATAATATAGCATTTAGATACATTTCTTTATCCCTACATTCAAACAAAAGCATTTGAATGCGACATTTATCTTCTGGAAGGATCAAAATTAAATCACCATAAATATTTCATATACGGCCAATGAGTTATTCACGGCTCTGCATTAGTCTCTACTCTGTAATGCATGATAGGCAACCTTTCATGCAACTGAGCAAAATGGCCACTCTTCATGCGAGCCCAGCATTTTGCTATGTTGCCAACTCAGTTGCATTAAAGTTTGCCTGTCTGTATATCTCGTATAGAATTCTCCAGGCAGTAAATATATCAATCACATTTTATTCTATGTAACTTTACATAAAGTCTGCATGTAAAAACATTATAGGTTAAGTTAAAATATCACACATGATCGTAGCTGTCTACTGGCTGAATGAATAACTGGTCATTCTCATTTTTAACGTAACACATATTTTTTGGTATTGTCCGGTTAATGGAGGTTATCATAAGCGACGGTAATTTATCTGTGCATGAGCAGTGAGTAGTCAAGTCACAGTAAAGCGGGAATGAAAAGTGTTTTAAAAATGTTCTGTGTTTTAAGTAGCAATGTAAGTAATGGTGTTACTCTTTATATTTGTTATAAACACACTTAAGTCAGATTGCCTCATATCAGTTTCAATGCCTCATTGCCATCCTTTCAGGTTTTCTATATAATCTCTGTCAAATCGTGATTGAATATTCAGAAAGCTGACAGAAGCTATGCATTCCTAACATTTCCGTGTACTTGATTCCGATTCGGGTAAGTACGTGCGGGTACTCGATTCCATTTTTTCCTACCCGTCCCAGCCCTAAAGATTTATTGATTTTGTCTACGTTGTTTCCCCATGGGACATCAGTGGGCGACTGATACAAACTTGGCATCGTAAAAGACGCAGCTCAAGTCGACAGGGGCACTGCATGAGACATGATGGAAGCTCTACAACTATTATCCACATGCCTTATCCTACCTATCTGGCTTTGTCGAACCGACGGAAATGACTGGTTACAGATCTCTGATGTCATCCATTCTTCTCTTGAAGGACCTCCAGTATGGACCGCTAAAGTTATGAACAAATTCCAATGTGAAAGTCTTTGTGTCAAACTGAAGTCATGCAGTTCAGCAAGTTATGATCCACAGAGACGAGTGTGCCAAACAGTAGGTTCATCAACGAAATCCTCCCAGTATACGCATGGACTAATCCACCTGAAGGAGCCCAGGGTGAGTGTTATATGTGTGACATTGTGTAATTCTTATTTAATGCTGCATTCCAATATTCCATCTATATGGCAGCAGGCATTAAATAACCGACTGTGACCCGACAATCCGGTGATAAGTATAATGAACCTCATCCACCCCGTTGGATCACGATCACTTGCTATCAAACAAGTTTCCAAGCCAGACAACCAAATACAGTAAGACGCCTTTATGAACAGCAAAGCTTGTCGGAGACCAATTCTAAGACTCCCACTTGACAGCCTGCAGTATACTCGTATACTTGACAGCCTGCGGTATACTCGTATACTTGACAGCCTGCGGTATACTCGTATACTTGACAGCCTGCGGTATACTCGTATACTTGACAGCCTGCGGTATACTCGTATACTTGACAGCCCGCGGTATACTCGTATACCTGACAGCCCGCAGTATACTCGTATACCTGACAGCCCGCAGTATACTCGTATACCTGACAGCCTGCAGTATACTCGCATACTTGACAGCCTGCAGTATACTCGTATATTTTAAAGCAGAAGTAAGCACAGAAAGGATATTTTCATGAACCCGTGAAGATCCGGGTTAGAATTGATCTTCTGCAACTCTACTCAAATTATTTTTAGTGAAGCACCCACCGTGGTACAAGATATTTTATTTCTACAAAATGGCAATATAGGTAAGTTAAGCTAATAACCACAATTATACATACATATACTTGGACATATGGATGTTATTACAATTAACACACAAGTTAGATAACATTAATGAATAGTCCATGACGACATGCGTGGTGTTTTTAATAATGGGAAGAAATTTTGCGGGGGTCTTGTATTCATTAAGCTTTCGGGTGCCTATGCCAGCATGTTTGTACACTTATTAGTGAGTGAGTCAGGTTTTAGCATTGTTCATTCAATATCACGGGAGGGGGGGGGTGGTGGTGGTGAGAGACACCCGAAATGGGGGTAATCGAGCCAGGGTCTTCAGCTTGACGAACGGACGCTGTAACCCTACCGTCTCTATACACCTATTACGTACAATAGAGCGTCTTCTTATTTTATGCACCGCATCCGTGGTGTAGTGGTTAGAGCGTCCGCCCGGAGAGCGGAAGGTCGCGGGTTCGATCCCCTACCGCGTCATTCCAAAAGACGTTAAAATATGGTACTTGTTGGTCCCTGCCTGGCGCTCGGCATTAATGGGTACAACAAGGACTGTTCGGCTCGGAGTCAGTATAAAGTGTCTGAGTGGGGTATTCATGCTTAACTGCGGCATGGTATCTCAGTGGGCTAGCACTATAAAACCAGCTTCAGTGTGGGCTAGTACAAGCAGCCGCACATACACACGCATGCACGTCGTCATATGAGCGAAATATTCTCCAGCGCGACGTTAAACCCAATTTCACCTCACCTTTATTTTATGCAATAACAGCTGTTAGAGCTTGCGATGTGCATTGTTCATGTTAATACTTCTCAAGCCAAACCAAGCCAGTGCGTCAACTTTTATGGGTAGATTTGGGGCAGATGGTTAGAAAACCGCTGTCAACTGGGTTTCATATGATTGGACTTATTTCAGTTAAATATAAATGTTTCTATAATAATGTTTTATGTCAACATTTTATTTCTAGTTTTGGTAAATTGATCTTTCAAAAGTGAGACATATATACTCTTAAAAAAGTAGGGAACTGGAACTTTCAGTTTGGATAGGAAGTATAAGCGTTAACAAACTTTTCAAATACAGACATCTTATGAACGCACCACCATTTCTCTTGATCACCACCCCTTAACACAACGCATGGGATGTACGCGCACAACGCAGTAGCCCCATGCACGTGCATGGGGTGTCATTCTTGATTTTGACGGTTTTCAAGAAGGTCGATAAATCACTGTAGACAATTAATTTTGACAATCAACTTGCATCACACACTTGTTAGTGTTTGTTTCTAGCCGGGTTCTTTTTTGTGTTTTTTTGTTTTGTTTTTGAAAATGAAAGTACACCAATCATCTTTCAAGAGCGATTATTGTACAAACAATTATGGTCATAAGGAAGTGCAAGCGGTGATGCACTCTCAAAACATTCAATATCATCATATCAACATTGATTGACTCCGATATGTCTCCCAATTATATATATCGTAAATTAAAAATGAAGTTCCAATAGTTTTTTTAGAGTGTATAATATAATTCTGGGTGCCTCTTGTTTGTTTAACGCCACGCTACTCCTCCTGGACACCAGTAATTCCGTGCAACATTGGACAACAAAATTCACCGACATTTTTATGCATGTGTGTTACGATTGCTACAGGCTGAGGAGGACATGTTTAGCCTTTACGGAACAGGGTTTATGTTCATGCTGTTGATCACTGGATTGTCTGATCCGATTACATAGCTGGAATGTTGCTGAGTGCGGCGTAAGACTAAACTCACTCACTCATTCACTTTACGGAACAGAGGCGGAGACATATTTTCTTTTTCAACTAATATTGCTTAAAGCCACGACTGCAATTTTCCAGCTATTACTATTGACTAGGAATTCCAGAGTCGTAAATTATGCCAAATACAATGAGAAATATCAGTCATATATCACGTACAAAGTGTAAGTGACTATTGAGCTGAAACCTATATCTTGCCATAAAGATGATTTATCATGCCTACCTCATATTATTGGATGAATACCATGTATCTTGTTGGTGGCTTGTTTATCCAAATTGGATTGCCAGAAATTGATGTTCAGATTTCAGACCAGTAAACATGACAATCTGTTAGAAATACAATAACATTGCCTATTCTCTGAATGCTTAAAGGGGCGGTGGGGTGGCCTAGTGGTTAAAACGTTCACTCGTCACTCCAAAGACGCGGGTTCGATTCCCCACATGGGTACAATGTGTGACGCCCATTTCTGGTGTTCCCGTCGTGATATTGCTAGAATATTGCTAAAAGCGCCGTAAAACTAAACTCACTCATTCACTGTATGCTTAAAGGCACAATTTCACACATTTTCGACAATACTTTGTTTTATATTATAGATATTAGGGCATATGCCTTCACATTAGCGCCCTGTTGGTGCAATAAAAGACTTATTATCTCTTATGACTTGCCTGGAATCGATAACTGAAACTTCGAGGCGAACAGCTTCCAAACACTTGCCATACATGGAATGTAAACAATTGCTCCGTACTTTGAAAACTGTCGCACGTGGTGTTGTCGGTGTTTGCCGAACTTGTTTCAATAGCAAGTTATGCGTAAGATATTCGTAAAGAGTGTTCCAAGGGACATAACTCTATAGGCTTCGCTTGAAATAATGTTCGGCCGGTAGAGGGCGCGAGAGTCGGCTTAATGCAACGTTGCATTTATTCATTCGAACTTTTTAATTCAATATTGTAATCTAAATACGTAAAATTTTTGGGAATAAATTATATGAGGGCTGATAGGTAGTATTATTGTGAGAAGTGCATTGTCTATTTTTAGAGAAGTGTGGTGTGATGTAGTGCCTTTAATATACACTCTTCAAAAAAAAGAAACGCAAAATGAAATTCAAGAATGATACTTACAATTTTGTACACATATGTAAACTCAAACATTTTTTTAGGGTTGCACATTGTTTCTGGAATGTTTTAGAAGATCATGCTTGACCAAACGCAACCAAAAATGATTTTGAACGGTTTTATCAATCAGGATTGTCATGATGTGCGTGGATGTCATGCAGCACGAATATCAGGCACAATGATTGTTTCTCACGAGTACAGCATGTGACTATAAAAGACCCAAATGAATCTCACAATTTCATCAACGATCTTTGCAAGTACTGTACACGAAAATGGGACGTCTCAACGCTGCCGATCGAAATCAGGCAATTGGACGATTGCAAGCTAGCGAATCAAAGAGTGAGGTGGCAAGGATCTTCAACATTCATCCCAGCACAATAACTCGATTGTGGGATCGATTTCGTCAAACAAATTCGACAAATGACCGTCCAAGATCAGGAAGACCTAGAGTCACCACACCTGCCCAAGATCGGTACATCCGGGTAACCCACCTACGTGACCGCCATCGTACCGCCCGGGACACAGCACAAGAACAGTTTGGAGCCCGAAGAGTGTCCGATAAGACAATCAGGAACGGTCTCCGAGAAGTAGGAATACGTGCCAAACGTCCAAAAGTTGCCCCCTCCTTGACACGACTACATCGACGTCGACGAGTGAGATGGTGTAACACGGTGCTACCATGGAACCTGGCAAACTGGAGGCGCATATGGTTTAGCGATGAATCCCGTTATCTCCTCAGGCGACGTGATGGTAGAGACCGTGTCTACAGACGACGTCATGAACGTTTTGCTCCTAACTGCATCAGACAGGTGGACAGATTCGTTGGAGAGAGTGTTATGGTGTGGGGAGCGATCTCATACACCCGCAGATCGGAGCTTGTGCTTGTCCAAGGCAATCTGACGGCCAATCGATACATCGACCAGATTCTCCGTCCGCACGTCTTCCACTTTGTTGACCGTCAACGGCAGCTCTTCCAACAGGACAACGCCAGGCCCCACACAGCACGTGCCACCGTGGACTACCTGGCCAATAACAACATCAATACCCTCCCCTGGCCCTCCAGATCCCCGGATCTAAACCCAATCGAACACCTTTGGGATCAGATCGATAGACGGGTACGTCGAGGTCGTATTCCACCACAGAATCTTCAACAGTTGTTCCACATGCTGCAGGAGGAATGGAGAAGGATTCCACAACAAAACATCCAACGACTGATTCGATCTGTACCCAGGAGGTGTCGGGAAGTGGTAGCAGCTGGAGGTGGTCATACGAGGTACTGACTTCAACACCACCTGGTGGACAGCAGTAATGACTGTGATAACTGTTATTTTCATGAAATATGGACAAGATAGCAATGCATTGCTCCAAAAAAGTTCATTCATGTATCTTTGTTTTCCGCTGATCTACACGCCCTTGAATAACACCAAATTTTCATTGATATTTGGGTTTTGCGTTTCTTTTTTTGAAG